GGGGCATTTCCAGTGGTAATTATGGCCATATTACAGTACTGGAAAATAGAGAAATTCTTAAATGCTCAGTAAATAAAAATATATAGTAAAATTAAAAATTGTGTTGGGCATTGTGGCTCACACCTGTAATCCCAGCACTTTGGGAGGCTGAGACAGGAGAAATGCTTGAGGCCAGGATTCGAGGCCTGCATGGAGAACATAGTGAAACCCCATCTCTGAAAAGAAAACCTAAAAATTAAAGTTAAATTGTATATATGTGTATGCACACACATACATACACACGTATCAATCACATACAGAATGAAAATGTGAAACAAGTTTTCAGTATCTACCCACATTCTTTTCTCCTCTCTTTATGACTAGATAAGTCTAGCAGTTGAGGTTGTAATTGCTACTTTAGGATGTTCCATGTGGATCAAATATCTTTAACAACACCTGTGATTCTAATCTTTTTTTTTTTTTTTTTTTTTGAGATGGGGTTTTACCATGTTGTCCAGGCTGTAGTGCAGTGGTTTTTCACAGGCATAATCCCACTATTGATCAGCACCTGCTCTGTTTCCAACCTGGGCTGGTTCACCCCTCCTTAGGCAACCTGGTGGTCCCCTGCTCCTGGGAGGTAACTATATTGATTCCGAACTTAGTGCAGACATCTTATCAACACAATGCACTACAGCCCAGAACTCCTGGGCTCAAGCAATCAGCCCGTCTCAGTCTCCCAGGTAGCTGAGACTCCAGGCACGTGCCACTATGCCTAGCTGATTCTAATCTTTGAGAGAACTTTTAGAAACCCAGAGAAATCTTAGGTTATAGGAGACAAATTTATCTTTTGATTCTCGGCATCTAACTTCCTCTAACACAGAGAGAGATTTAATACATATATTTTAGTGGATGAGAATATAGAGCAGTTACAGGGAGTGTCTAGGTGATCTGGACTGAGTTTCCCAACCAATTCTGTGTTTCTCGGATGCAAGCCATGGAGAGATACCCCATGTTGCTGTTCAGGTTATCGATGCGCTGGCCCATCACTAGACTGGAGAATGAGAACAGGAGTAACATCCTGGCCACATTGTGCCATTCAGAAGATACTTGGATCCTTTGCACAGCATTAGTTCATGTCTGTATAACTAGTATAGACTAATTTCAATCATACTGTTTGTTTACCTGCTTTGTGTATCTTTTTCCATAGTATAATACTCCCTGGCTATTTCTTTTAAACATTTTTTTATATCATCATGGAGTCAGTCACCGATTTCTCCTTTCTATCGATGCTGACACTCCAGATAAAAGCACTTTACAACCATCATTCTTGTATCTAATTTTGCTCTTAAGCCCTAGAAATTATTAGACACCTGCTTCTTCTATCCCTTCCCCTACCACCTTATAAATGTAAACTTCTTGATTAATGACATTTAAATGATTTCCTTGCTTTTTTGTTAAATTTCTTAAATAAGTTCTAACTTCCACTTATTTACCATATATTATATGCTAAATTACATATTTTTAATATTCTTAACAACATAGCTAAACAGGTATAGTTTATCCCCATTTGAAGATGAAGAAAATAAGAAGCAAAGATCAGACGTTATTTGCCTCAAATCTATCACAAGTAAACTGCTCAACCACTATTGGAACTCAAGTCTATCTGATTCTAAAGCCCTGCTCCTTCTTCCACTTCACATTGTTAAAGGAAAAACTTTAGGCAAATTAAATTTAGCAGAGTTTGAGCAAAGAGGTTCAAAGAGCTCCACTCTAGGAACATGAGCTTTTGTAGGCTGAACACAGAAACAAAATAGAGAAATTACTTGATTGGCTGCAGCTAGACATTTGCCTTATTTTGATATGGTCTTATGGGAGGTCCCTAGTTATATAACCAACTGGCCATTTGGCTATGTGATTCTCTGAGACTCATTTTTTAGTTTTCAAGTTAGTTACAAGAAATGTTTCCAACTTAAGTTACAGTTTGCTTACAGAGACAACCTCAAGCTAATTGCTTCCTTATTTGCTTTAACCACATTATATCATAATCTAAGGAAGCTATATGATTTTTTAGATAAGCTAATGTTTCATATATGTGTATTTTATAGGCATTAGAAAAGGAGAAAAACGCTTAATTTTAAAAGTAGTCTTACAAGTGACTAAGTATACCTTGTGAGAGGAGGAATTAGTACTCGGACATTAGCCATATGTAATTATCTTTATGCCTCACTCGAATTTGGGATACTCTCCTTCTATCCTAGATCATATATTCTTAACATTATTAAGTAAAGGTTTGAATTGTTGTGATAGTTAATTTTCTGTGTAAGCTTGACTGGGCCATAGGGTGCCCAGATATTTGGTCAAACATTTTGAGTATGTTGTTAGGATATTTCTGGATGAGATTAACATTTGAATCAGTAGACTGAGTAAAGCAGATTGTTCTCCCTGTATGAGTAGGCCTTATCCAATCAATTAAAGACCTGAATAGAATAAAAAAGCCTCGTATGAGGGAATTTCTCCTGACTAAGCTGAGACATCAGTATTTTCCTGCCTTCAGACTCAAATTGAAAAATTGGCTCTTTCTGGGTCTTGAGCCTGCCAGCTTTTGGACTGGAACTTACACCATTGGCTATCATGGTTCTCAGACATTTGGATGTGGACTGTAACTACACTGTTAGCTCTTTTGGGTCTCCAGCTGGCTGACTACAGATCTTGGGACTTCTCAGCCTCCACAAGCATGTGAGCCAATCCCTTATAATAAATCTTTGTCTTTCTTTCTCTCCATGTGTTATATGTGTGGGTGTATGTGTGTGTGTGTATATATATATATATATCTCCATCTATCCTGTTGGTTCTGTTTCTCTGCTTGCTATTCTTCAGAACTGTCCCTCAGGCCTCTCATTATCTCTCTTTCTCCATGCCCACTCTCATTCTTAATATGTCTCCCTACTCACAGTTACTCAGAACACTACCCTCAAAATTATTTCTATAACTCATTTATTTTTTCAACTGTACTGCCATTTATGTCCTATTACTTTCTCATGCACACATACACACTTACACAGACACACACTCACACAGGCATGCTATTTTCACACAGTATATCAGCTATCCAGTGGAACTTTGTGTAATAACAAAAATGTTTTATATTTGTATAATATTATAGTCACTAGCCACTTGTATTAGTCTGAGTTCTCCAGAAAAAGAGAACCAGTAAGGACAGGAGAGAGAGAAAGAGACTGATTCTGACTGTAAGGAATTTGCTCATGTGATTATGGAGGTTGGGAAGTCCCAAGATCTGCAGTTAGCAAGCTGGAGACCTAGGAAAGCTGATGGTATAGTTCTAGTTTGAGATTGAGTCTGAAGGCAGAAGACCAGCTTGAAGATAGGCAGATAGGAAGAATTCTTTCTTACTCAGCCTTTTATTCTATTTAGGCCTTCAAAAGATTGGATGAGGCTCACTCACATTGGGGAGGGCTATCAGCTTTACTCAGTCTTCCAATTCAAATGTTAATCTCATCAAGAAACATCCTTACAGGCACACTCAGAAATATCTGGATGTTTAACCAAATATCTGGGCACTCTGTGGCCCAGTCAAGTTGACACATAAAATTAACCATTACAGCATATATGGCTGATGACATAAAATGTGGCTAGAGCAACCAAAGACCTGAATTTTTAATTATATTTAATTATAAGTAATTTAAATCTAAATGGCTACACATGACATTCGTGGTTACCATATTGAACAGCACAACAGTAGATTGTTTCAGTCCTAGAATAAAGCTTTGATTGATGCTGTAGGACCATTCAGAATACTTTTCTAGTATGTGGCTTTCACCTGGGCCTATTGGAACACTTGCTGTAGGAGAACCAAGCCACCATGCAAGAAGTCCAACGACCCTGAGATGGCTGTGCTGTGATAAAGAGGCACAAGCTAGCCAGATGGAGAGGTTGCATTAAGAGAGAGAGAGCCCAATCTGTTCTCGCCATCACAGCTGAAGTATAAGAAATGTGAATAAAGAAACCATAGTGGACACAGTCAGGCCTTCAGATGACTTCAGTCACAGCTACCATCTGACTGTAGCTATATGAAAGCTCCCAAGCAAGAAGCTCCAGCTAAACCCACAGAATCATGAGAGACAATAAATTGTTGTCTTAAGCCACCAAGTTTTGCAATGATTTTGCAAAGCAATAGATAACCAGAACAGAAATGTACTAGGGAATCAGGGTTCCCTATTTGTCTGGCTCCCCTAGTTCCCAGTCTTCTTTTTCATTTCTGTTTCCCACTTCCTTGCTTTTTATGGTGCAACTTTTATGTTTAGAGCTTAATTTGCAATTTGGGAAAAATCACAATTATCTGACCTTCAACTCTTAGAATCCTGACTTCATATTTAAAAAGCCTTTCTTAATAAAGTTATATGCCGTTTGCCTTCCTGCTTCCAAATAGGCCAACTTGGATCAGTGCTTCCCTTGTTCTTCCTTACTAAAGGCCAGAATTAATTAATACAATATAACACTCTGATCTTTCTCAGGCACTTCCCTTGTAAAAGTAACCTCAGAAGAAATATAGTCTATGTCCAAGATCAGCATTTTAACAGCTACTTTGCTACCAGCAGAAAATGGATGGGGGTGGGAGGAGAGGACTGTGTTAGGTACATACTCAAATAATAACTACTGTAGAAATAACACCACTTATGAGTAACAACAAGACTAATCTTGCAATGACATCCTATATGAGCTATACAACCTGTACATTTTGGTGTTTAACCCAATTATATAGCATTGAGCATTAGCCCTTGATAATAATAATAATAATATACTTTTTATTCCAATAAGTTTAACATTATGAAAATTCAAAAGGAGTTTATCATTAAATATCATGAAAACAAATGTTTAGAACAAGGTGTTCTATGTTATGATTGTTCTCATCATTTTTGTGTAGTTGACATTGATGGCAAGTTTTTAGTCTGAACATTTTCTTAGGTTTCTACTACATTGGTGATTTTTTTTTTTTATTCTAGTTCTAAGAACATATGGAATTGGCTATGGATAATTCATATGATTTCAATCAACAAAGCTCATGTAATGGAATTTCATCTGAGAAGAAAAACAACTGCCTTGTATCAGAAGATCATGGACAGAAAATCTTAAGTATACTACAGAATTTTAGAGAACAAAATATCTTTTATGATTTCAAAATAATCATGAAAGATGAAATAATCCCATGTCATCGTTGTGTGTTAGCAGCATGCAGTGACTTTTTCAGGTACTCTACCTAATTATGCTTCAGATTTTATGATATAGGTAATTAAGCTATATTTTATAACTATACTCAATTTTTCCTCCACAGGAACATGCAACAGTAATTTAAAAAATACTAATTAGAACCAAGATTAACTAATGAAGTTTGAGTAGGAGAATTTAAGACTACCTTTTTTAAAGCATGGGTCTTCCCAACAGCATTTCCCATAGTTCTACGGAATATTATTGCTTGAAATGTTCTGGGGGGAAAAAATTTTTATCAGTGTCAGCTTTATTTGGAGGATCCCTGTACTATATATCATTTTAGAAAAAGAAGACAGGACAGGTTGGACAAAAATTGAAGCAAAGTTCAAAGAAAATGACTCTGAGAGAAGAATAAACTTCAGTCCTATATTATATCCATGTATTAGCCAGAGGTGGGGCTGGGAAGGGTTCTAACCCAGAGGATTTGACATTCCTATAGTCAGGAAAAGTACTTCTGAGCTAAAAAGCATTTCTCAAGAGCATCCAACTTGTTCTCATCTAAGCCATTTTCTGGATATAATTTGGTTTCCCGTGTAGATCACCCTAAAGGGAATGTCCTAATCATGACACTGCAGTGATCTGCTATGACAACAGTGGGTTTCCAATTCAGCAAGCTTAAAGGTCAGACACATGACCGTACAATTAGTGTGGTAATCATATAGAGATAATACCATCTTGCGAGGCCTCTTAGTCAATGGACAGACAAGTCTCTCTTGGTGATACCCTGGTCTTCAGCCCTCCTGGTCATACTATAAGAAACTTAAATCCTAATTGCAGTATTTTGCATTATGCTCAATTTTGGAAGCAACTTTAATTCAAAGTAGGCAGGGTTTAAATCTTGTTAAAAACAAAGTAAAATACAGAAAAATCAAGATGCAAGTTAATTTATACTATTTTTAATCCTTAGTTTAACCCCCCCTTTTTTTTTTTTTACCAACATCTAATTAGACCTCACCCCTATTACCTTTACAGTAAATCTTACAAGCTGAGCTTCATTCAGCAATCATTTATTGATATCCACTACCTGCTGAGCACTTGCTCCTGTAGGGTTTCTTGCTTTGAATTTGGGAGCGATGGTTTAGTGCTATAGCACAGTTTTTTGGGGACAGAGAGGCTACAACAGTCTTGAATTAGCTGTTTACCTGTTTAGACCATATGCCTTCATCTTTTCATTATTTCTTCTCTCAGGTAATCTAAGTTATTCTTTTTTGAACTTCACTGGGGCCCTTACTGTTCTTGTACTCTGTCACATCTCAGGTTCCACCAGTGTCTCCCTCCTCTCTTCTAATCCAGCTTTTCTCCCATGTAACTCTGCTCTGCTCCCTTACCCATGTTGCTTCTTCATCACAGGAACGTGTATAGTACAATGTTAAGTACTTGGCCTCTTAATGCATATGTCCTAAATTTAAATCTCAGCTCTCCCACTTATTAAACATGTGACCTTAGGCAAGTTACTTAACCTCTTCAGGCCTGTTTTCTCATTTGTAAAAAAAATCAGGATAATAAAAATAGGAGCTAACTCATAGGATTATTATGAGGGTTAAATGAAATAATATATAAGTAATGATTTTCACAGTACCCACTACATTCAGTTAATATTAGCTGCTATGCTTATTATTTCTAAACCTAGCAAAACATGGAAATAATCTGGTATGAACACACTGTTTGATTTTCTTATAATGTTTTCATGCTAATAAAATAAAAAGTTCATGTAGCCATTCGAATATGTAGTCCTCTACTCTTATTGAAGTCATTTTTTAATTAAATTTATCTGCACATAATTTTTGTCTGTTGTTCTTTGTTCAGCTTACTCCTAGTTCTTTATGGGTCTGCTTTTAATTTTTAAAATTACTATTAAGACAGAAAAATATATTTTTTAGATTTTCCACCTGTTTTAAATAATACCAATGACAGGTCCTTTATTATATTTAGTATTTTTTTTTCTTTTTTGAAACAGAGTCTCACTCTGTTGCCTGGGCTAGAGTGCTGTGGCATCAGCCTAGCTCACAGCAACCTCAAACTCCTGGGCTCCAGTAATCCTTCTGCCTTAGCCTCCCGAGTAGCTGGGACTACAGGCATGCGCCACCATACCCAGCTAATTTTTTCTATATATTTTTAGTTGGTCAATTAATTTCTTTCTATTTTGAGTAGACACAGGGTCTCGTTCTTGCTCAGGAGTTTGGTTTCAAACTCCTGACCTTGAGCGATCCACCCACCTCGGCCTCCCAGAGTGCTAGGATTATAGGTGTGAGCCACTGCTCCCAGCCTATATATAGTATATTTAAATGAATATACAGTTCATATAAAAATATGTACAAATGTAGATTGAGATTTGATCATTTCCATTCTTGTATAATAAGGCCACTAACTTATTTGTGTTATCAAACTCACTCACTGGAATAATTGGGAGGATAATGTAAAATAAAAATGCCATAAAAGTGCACAATGGATGATAAATACCCTTTACAATGTTTTTGGAAAATGCAAATTATGACTGAGATTTAAATTCATTGGCGACAAGAAATTAAGAAGGAATCCTGCATTTTATAGTCACTTTACAATAACATGGTAAATTTGAGATAGATTTAACTGGGTACTTTAAAGATGAGTAGGATAAAGTATATAAAGACAGTTTTACATATGTCTTCTCAAAGAAAATGTGGAGCTAATGAGAAATTAAAAATACCTCTAATCTGAAAGAAAACATTTGCTTTCTTAAAATAACAATAGCAGCTAATTCTTTACATCAATTAACTTATTTATTTCTCTCAGGAACCCAATGAGATAGATTACTACCAGTATCCCCATTTTCTGATGAAGGATTCAAAGCACAATAAAGTTAAGTCACCTTCCCAAGGTCACATAGCTAATAAGTGGCAGAGGCTAGATACCTACCTGGGCAGCCAGACTCTAGAATCCATGCTCTTAATATTATCCTAAACTGACTGTAGATATCTTAATAATATAATATAATTAGCATTACAGGTTAATATTTCTATTGACATACCTTATTGAGAAACCTTGCATAATGTGTAACTGTATATAATTTTTAAACTATATTTATTTGGTTTTGTATTAAGGATTGAATAGCCTGGTAGGAAGGCACTTTGTCATCCTTCCTTTTCCTAAGGAGTATTTTTTCTTTGCGAGGTCCCTCATATTTTTCAGTTGGATGCTGTACTTTTTAAATAGACTTAGTTATCCTCCGGAGTAGACTCTAATGAGTAAATTGGTTTCCCCTCAGAGTATTTGGGCACACATCTAGGGCCACTGCTCACAAAGGCATCCTAGGCAATACTGGCACAAGTATTAATACAAACCATTATTACACCAGAACCAATAGTAAAATACATGTTAATCCCTGTCTACACATTTCCAAACAATTTCTATGTTTACCTAAACTGAACCAAAGAAATTCCCAATTCCTTAGATTCTAGCAACTTTACCATGTGGGGATAAAATAGAACTTATTAGGAAGAACTTCCAAGCTGGTCTAATTATTCAGATTTAGGAGCCCATCTCCATTTTTCAGTGGCTGTTAACCACAGCAACATTTTTTGTTTTCCTTTTTAGCTTGATGTGGTATACTGTTATTGTTTAGTCTTATGAAATCACATTCCTTTTTCCCTAAGGCACTATAAAAATGTCTTTTTAGAGGTGTGTCTTATTTGGTAGATGTATAGATTCATTGGAGACATCTGGTATCTCACTGTACTCTGTCTTTCCTGTTTCATTAATATCAAACCAAAGATTAATTTGAAAAAGAATTTTAAGTCCTAAACCCAAAAGCAGTATATTTTAAGTAATTTAGTTTTCACCAGCATTGTTGATACTAATTAACCCATAAATAAAGAAATTCTACCATTAGAGAAATTTTATCCCAATTATGAGAATAATATATGAGAACAAATCAGTAAACATATTTGAATCTTTTTATACTCTTTTTTGTATTAGTTGTTGGAGCTCAGCTATAATGTATATATTTTGCAATACAGGAGTTATGTAATACATTTGTTGGTAGATAAATAATATGGTATATCATTATTTTGGATATTCAAATAATTTATTAGGATGCTATTAAAATACAATTTTATAAGTATATTTCAAACCAACCTAAGGATAAAGAAAACCTCTTTAAGGTATATTGAAAATAACTATGGAATAAAATATTCCTGTTTACTTGTTCTTCTGTGTTCTTTATTTTTGCAGGGCTATGTTTGAAGTAAACATGAAAGAAAGAGATGATGGAAGTGTTACCATTACAAATTTATCCTCCAAAGCAGTAAAAGCATTTCTTGATTATGCCTATACTGGAAAAACAAAAATAACAGATGATAATGTGGAAATGTTCTTCCAGTTGTCATCATTTCTTCAAGTTTCCTTCCTATCCAAAGCTTGCAGTGACTTTTTAATAAAAAGCATTAATCTTGTCAATTGTTTACAGTTATTATCTCTATCAGATAGCTATGGCTCTACCAATTTGTTTGATCATGCATTATACTTTGTACAACATCACTTTTCTTTATTATTTAAATCCAGTGATTTCTTAGAGATGAATTTTGGCATACTACAAAAATGTCTGGAATCAGATGAATTAAATGTTCCTGAAGAAGAAACAGTATTGAAGGTTGTCCTTAGTTGGACTAAACATAACTTAGAATCAAGGCAAAAATATCTGCCTCATTTGATTAAAAACGTAAGATTACATCAGTTATCTGAGGAGACACTCCAGGACTGTCTGTTCAATGAAGAGTGTTTACTCAAAAGTACAAATTGTTTTGACATAATCATGGATGCACTTAAGTGTGTGCAAGGTTCTGGTGGACTTTTCCCTGATGCTCGACCATCCACAACTGAAAAATATATATTCATTCACAAAACTGAGGAAAACGAAGAAAATCAATATACATTTTGCTATAATATTAAAACTGATTCGTGGAAAATACTGCCGCAATCACACCTGATTGATTTACCAGGATCTAGTCTTTCTAGTTATGGAGAGAAAATATTCTTGACAGGCGGTTGCAAAGGAAAGTGTTGTAGAACGGTTCGACTTCATATTGCTGAGTCATATCATGACGCCACTGATCAAACCTGGTGCTACTGTCCAGTCAAAAATGATTTCTTCTTGGTATCAACTATGAAAACTCCAAGAACCATGCATACATCAGTTATGGCTCTCAATAGATTATTTGTCATAGGTGGAAAAACTAAAGGATCTCGGGACATTAAAAGCCTCTTAGATGTTGAATCTTACAACCCTCTTTCCAAAGAATGGATATCTGTTAGCCCATTACCCAGAGGTATATACTATCCAGAAGCAAGCACATGCCAAAATGTAATTTACGTCCTTGGATCAGAGGTAGAGATTACAGATGCTTTTAATCCATCGCTTGATTGCTTTTTTAGATACAATGCTACAACTGATCAGTGGTCTGAACTAGTTGCTGAGTTTGGGCAGTTTTTTCATGCAACGCTAATTAAAGCTGTCCCAGTAAACTGCACACTGTATATATGTGACCTTTCCACCTATAAGGTTTATAGTTTTTGTCCAGATACTTGTGTTTGGAAAGGTGAAGGATCTTTCGAATGTGCAGGTTTTAATGCAGGCGCAATTGGAATTGAAGATAAAATTTATATATTAGGTGGTGATTATGCACCAGATGAAATCACAGATGAAGTACAGGTCTACCACAGCAGCAGGTCTGAGTGGGAAGAAGTTTCACCAATGCCAAGAGCCTTAACTGAATTTTACTGCCAGGTGATTCAGTTTAATAAATATAGAGACCCATGGTTTTCTAATCATTTGTAAAAGTAGTATATACTTGGACATCCTAAAACTATTCCAGTTCTAGTAACCTACAGTAAATTTGTTAACCATGATTGGTAAAAAGGTCTTTACATCTTAATAAAATAAATGTTCTTGCTATCAGACAGTTACTATGTATGTACATCATATATGAGTAAACATTTCTCCAAAACTTAAAGTACAAAATACATTTTAGCAAAAATTATACTGAATATAATTTAATATTGAAGCCAGAATATTTAGTATTTTCCATGTAAATAAAAGTCATAGACTCTGACACTTTGATTTTTGAAGTACTTTATCCATGAAAGAGTAGTAAAAACAAAGTTCACAGATTTGTACTATTTATAGAGAGAAATTTCTTGAGGGAGTACAAATGAATTATTTGTACTCTCTAGGCAGTAAAAAATAAACTAGAAGGAGGTGACAATCTTGTTACTGCAGGGGGAAGAGTTGTTGAATTCCTATCATTTGTGATCATTGGTTTCTTTCAGGCGCTTCTTTTACCCTTTTTTTGGTCAGAAATTTCTCTAATATGCAGTCTATTTCCTCAGCCTTCTAAACAGTACACTAAACATAGTTTAACTTTTTTTATGATTCATCTTTTCATTATGAGGATAATGTACCATGTTATAATGCCATCAGCAGTTACTTAAATGGTTTTAAAATTGTTGATTATATTAGTTTTCAGTGTCAGTTGGTTTAAATTTCTAGCAATATTAGCTCTCATTTTCTAGCTCAAACTCAATAAATTAACATTTTTGATTTAGTTAGTATTTCTAAGTTACGCCTGGCCTGAACTTATCTTAACATGTCACCCTTTGAAGTTCTTCGATTCTGAGATGGTAGCCCTAAAATACTTTTTATGTATCATTGCCAGGTTCCAACCTAATTGAAAATGTAGAAAATTGATCACTAGATAAGTGGATCATTACTGTTGCATTTCTTAAACTGTCCAAATTTGAGCTACAATGAGAAATTTCAGGATTGAAATTAGTACCATATCAATTTTATGTGATTATGAATACCAAGTATAAAGCACCATGTTGGTTTACTACTTAGGTAAATTATTCATAGTGAATTTACTTTCTATATTTAAAAAAAATGACAAAACCTTTGGTATCATTAGTAATATTCACAATGTGCATCTGTTTAGAAGTTTAGTCCTTGTCCCAAACAATGAAAGAGTATTGGTCATCACTGTTCTCAGCTAGATGATTCTGCCTTGCAAGAGCAGATGTTTCTTTAATCGCTATTAAAGATAAAGGCATTTTAGGTTTTAAGACCCCTGATTTACATCTCAGGTAATGTGTATATTGAATTTCTGTGAAACCAAATGTAGTTTTTTTACACTCAGTAGTAAATGTTAATCTGTTTTAAGTGTACATATTCTTTAAAAGTGTGTCCCTAAGTGTAAAAATCACCTTAATGTCCTTTTCTTTTACCATATACGTTTAGGCAATCATAAGTTTCAAGCATAGTTTTCAAATTGAACAGAATATCAGAGTACATTTTCATGCAGTTCCAAAATCAATGACTATCCCTGATTAGATGACAAGTGCATAGTAAGTATTCTGTCAAATTGGTGGCCTTCCTATTTAAGCATGTGAGTAGTTGGCTCTGCCCTTTTTTCTGTGTGTGTGTAAGAAAAAATAAAATTCCGTGGAGGCTTTTGTGTATATGTGACTTTGAAAACAAATTATTTAAGAAAGACCATATGCAGTGAGTGACTTGTGTGTAGATTTACTGAACTGTTAATTTAAGCATATATAAATAGAGTATTATTAAAATAAATATCGTTTTAATCACTGACCCTAGGAATTGTTCATCTCTTCTGGAAAGGAGAAACTAAAGCAAAAGCAAATCCCTTCTGAATGTTGTTATTGTATCATCTTCATGATTTCCACAGTTGTTCTCATTGGCCATTGGCTATGGTAATGTTTCTAGAAATATCCTTGTTATCAAGGCCTAGGTAGTTCCCTCTGCCATTTGATTTAGTATATTTTTTGTCTTAGTTTCTACAACTGCTGTGGGTTACTTTTTAATCATTTTCACTTATTGCCATCCCTTTATATCTGTACCTTTGTGCTCTTTAGTTATCACTGCAAGAAAAAAATACTCTGTGTAATCAAAAAAACCCTAAATTCTTCCATTATTTAGTGTTCTTTTTTCTGTTCACTAAAGAAATCTGTGCTGGGTTTGGCTCCACTAACTGATCTCTTCTCTAATTTTGTATCTCTTTGTTAAGGTAGCACTTTTACAAATGAATACTTAAAGGTAGATCCATTTGCCTCATTGAAAAAATGGTTCTGTGTCTTCAAAATCCTCAAGGAATGCAACCACACAGGGTAAATGACTAATTGATTATATCCTTTGGTCTTGCCAATCACTATGGTTCCACCATCTAACAACCATATATATTTTGGCCTCACCTCCATTCTGCATTTCTCACATGCAAATTTTAGTGATCCCTCAAGTCTATTCTCAGTACTTCCAGAAGGAGCTATTTTTCCTGTCTGTAAGTTTAGGTAAGAGAAAATAACAATTCTTTATGGTTTCTTAGTATTTTGTTTCTTAAGTCTGTTTTCCTTTCATTATATCCTTTAACCAGTGCTACAGTGAAAGAGACAAAATAATTGTACTCATTATCCAGATTACTGTCATTCCTGTAGAAAAAATTCTATTTAACATTTCTAAATCCATTATCATTTGTCTTGCTCCACTACATTTGGATTATGCATGCAAAAATATTTTAATATTGTAATGTCTTCTAAAATTGAAAGTAGGTATATGGCATTATTAAATATAAAAAAGATTAAGTTTAACATATGAGATCAATTCAAAGTTAATGGGCATTCCTAGAGCGATCTTTAAACTTGAATTAAAATGTGGAACAACTTTTGTTCATCTATCGCCTTTGAGACTAAGTAGTATGAGGAATATTTGCATAATCAAAATGAACTACATTCCCACACTACTCAACTCTGGTACTGATAGTAAAAGAGGTCTTTATCACAGCAATATTCATTGCATTCTACCCTTGAAAGCTAGATTATTATTTGAGAGCAACCATGTGCTGCAATATGAGTCCATTTTTCCCCTGATACCAAGAAGAGAAATTAGATGTATGTTCAGTGTGCGTAGCTCAAGGCATACCATTTGAAAATCAGAATCAAGCATAGAGGAATATATCTGTTTACATTTTGAGATTTGAAAGCAATAAATATTGTAATGATTAAGTATGTAGTTGAATATATAATGTTACTTTAAGATCATCATTCTCAGTTTAATTGGATCCAGTGTTCTGGAAACTCCTCTTATATTTAGAATTGAAAGTTTAAGACTCAAAAATGTTCTCCTCAGGGACAGCTCTGGAGGGCAACCTAAAAAGAAAGGCTGGAATTCATAAGGAAGCAGATTTCTGTTTAGTGTAAGAAGAAACTTCACTTTATAAAGTCATACTTGAGAATGAGACTAGTTATCTGGCATGTGGCAGATCATTAGCCCCAAAATTTCCGACACAGAAGTGCATGACCAAAGATTTTTATATTCTATTTACACATCTCAATGTCAATATTGTGTCTGATATATGACCAGTTGCTTCCTCCTCCAACTTATTTAGCATTTTCGGCATTCTGAGTAACTTGATTTCAATGTTCTGCACATGCAAGCTTTTTCAATAGGACTTGAGTCTTAAAACTACACCATTTTGGAGCGTTTTCATGAAGGGAATTTTTTTTTTTTAATCACTCAGGCAAAGTCTATAAATGCTGACATTTATAGTGAGCTGCTAATTAGGATTTTTTTCTTCTCTTTGCCATAGCTACATGTTTGTTTTATAATGAATAGGAATTGAAAGTTTTCTCCTGAATCATTATGCTTATTTCTCTGCCAATGTATTTATATAGCCAAGTGTGATTTTGGCTAAATATTATATAATGTGAAAGAATATCTTTATATCTTAAACATCTAGATGTGTTTATAAATTATATTTGGTGACTATGATGCTTAATCAAATTTAATATCAGAATTTAATCACAGGATGATACTATTACACACTTATCAAAGGATAACTTTTCTTAATCATAGACTCATTCAAATTTGAAAATAAACTTGGAATCTAATGCAACTTCCAACTTGGTGTAAAAGTCCCTCTAAATTCTAAAACATCCTTGACACATAATTTTTTTTCAATTTTAAATTCAGCGTGTTCAGGAGTAAAGAGTCACTATTTCCACTTCCGCACAGTTCTATTAGAAAGTTCTTTTTAACATTGAAAACAACTCTGCCTCCCTGTGATAACTTCTAGCCTTTGGTCCTATTCAAGTGTTTGAAACACTACCATGTCTGCCACTCAAAAACCAAGGGCCCATTTCCCTTCTTGTTTAAATGCTCAGCATTTCAACATCTCCCATGATGGCTGGGGTTACATGCCTTCTCCCTGTACAGTTATCTCAGAGAATCTGTCCTAGCTCTATTGCCATTTTAGTGGATTGAGTGTGACCAGCATTGCAAAGTCTGTTCCACTTATAGATAGTGCCTCACTGCCCATACTCGGTATACTTGATGCTTCAGACATCTCATTCCCTCACTTGACTCTCTAGCTCATATAAATCCCATCTGGGCTAGAGCCTTGCTGTGTCTCCCTCATCCTACCCACCCCCATCAACATGATCACAAACACATAATTTCTGGGAGAGATATTCTAAAGCCAAATTCTAATAAGTCAATCATTTGTCATTGGATATTGTTTTCAGAATTTAAAAAACACTTATGAAAAAGACTCTAGAAAATATCCGAAAAATAGAAACCAAAGCAGTCACATCCTTTGTGGCTAACAAGAGGACAATTTGCTCACAAATCAATACAGACTAGCCTTATGGTAATAACAATTTAAATTTGGAGATGCATTTGTGCTGTTAGTCCAGTTGAATAGATGATGATATTTTCATAAAACAAGGTCATAATTAAATAACTCTATGGGTCAGGTAGCTTTGTTCATTTCATTAACTTTGACAACATTCCCAACCATAAAGGTCTGACTAGTGCAAAAAATTATGTTGTTGGTCTCAAGGTGATCACAAAAGGTGGTCTCAAGGTAGTCTCAATGTTGTTGGTCTCAAAATTATGTTGTTGGTCTCAAGCTCAAAAAATTATGTTGTTGGTAACAAGGTTGCTGAAATAACTCAGAGTACAGACCTCTAAAGATAAGTATCCCATTGTAGCATAAATATTTCTTTACATGTCTGACTTCCTTATTTAACTGGAAGCTCTTAGGGTTAGGAACACATCTTCATCATTTCTAGGTCCAGCAATTAGCACAGTGCCTGTCATATGAGGCATCCAATAAACTGATATGCTATTAAGCCAATATGTGAAGTGAAATATATTTATTACAATGTTGTTGTTACTAAATGTGCTCAATATATCTGTATATTTTGCAACTTATTTTCATGTACAAGGGCAATTATGTTAGGATTTTACATTTTAGAATGCTACCACGTACTTTAGTTATTAATGTATGTGTTAATTCTTTTTGTAATATTTGATATTTTGCTTATGTTCAAAGTCTGAGAAAATTGGTTTAGTTAATGCAACTGTGTTGTTTTTTTTTGAGTATAATATATGAAAAAGTTAATCAAAAGCTTTTTAATAAGGGTGAAATTGCTTTTTACAGGGCATTGCACACCTTTGGAGAGCATGTATAGTTGTGTATGTATAGTTGGTTCTTAAAGTGAAATTATATATTCAAAGTAATTTATCCACCTAAATTTTTGGGCTTTGGGACTATTTGTTTTCAGTGAATTTTAATTATAATATCTAATTCTGTGTTACCTTTCAAAGGCAATAATGGATAAAACAATGACTTCATATTTAATCAGTACACATGCAACCCCCATTTCTCCTACAAAAGCATAGCTTCGGTGACCTTTTTTACACTCAGGCAAGGGGATAGGGCCCATTGTATATGCAGGTAACTTATTTCTATGTTAGTGGAATGTGGGCTTTTGCTATATGCTATGAAAAATAAAATCAGCATTTTGAGGTCCTGTTGACCATATTAACATGTAGTAAAACATTTCAATTCTATAAAATAGTTAATTTATTAAAATGTATCATAAAATATATATATATTGTCTGTATTTATTGTTATTAGAAATAAAAGAGGTGGAGAAAGGTGGATGCCAGGGCTCTCATTTTCTCGCCTTTCCCGTCTCAGATGTCCTGGGTTCCTGAGTGGCACTGATGGGTCTCAGAAGTACTGACAGTGTGGTGGAGAAGGTGGGGGAATTGTCAAAGGGGGCTTCTGTAACTGAGATATGTCCAGCAGTATAGACTTCAAAGTGGACAACCTGGTCTGAAATGAATACAGTAATAGCCAGACTTCAGGTGAGTCATAGGTGGGGAGAGACCTCCAGGCCCTGACTAAGCTAAGACAAACAGACCAAATGTCCATGAGCTACAGATGACGGCAGCAGAAGCAAACCAAATCTACAGGGCCAGGAACTGGCCAACCCTGCCTCACTGGATACCAGGCATACAAGGACCAGTCAGCTGCCAGGTGTAGGCCTTCATACCTCATACACCCAGAAGTTTATGGGGAGTACCTAGTAAAGTCTGAGAGACAAAGTGGTACCCTGAAAGGGCTTTTTAAGTGTTTGCATAGGAGAGATGCTCTCTTAATTCCAGTCACTGTAATTTTTTTCTTATCTCTGGACAGGGCCATTTTCTATCATGGTTTTCCTATGTGATGAGCTGTGATTTACTAAATGACCTTGGCTCCCAAGTCATTCTTCCAGACTATGGCCCAGGTTGAAAAAGAGTTCCTCCTTGGAAACCCAACCCTTGAAAAATGAACACGGTCCCCACCCCCACATGACTGCATAAGGCCAATTGTCTTCTCTGAATTTCTCAAGATTTCTGGTGCTCATTCATTAGTCGTTGATCCTAACTTATCGTTCCAGACTTCTTTCCTTATAACCTCCATTTTTCGGTGTGCCTCTAACTTTCTGCAGTTTACTTTGCCTTCAAATATTGACCTACTCCCTTCTTTTTAATCTCCCTAGAAGGGAGCCTTTCATGGAGGATATTAAAACTTAAGGATATTGTAGGGAATTGGCCTGCCATGGGGTTGTTGGTGATGCTCCCCTCAAATCAGAGATTTCCTCCCTCAGTCAACATTTTAATGCTCACAGTCCCTGAGTGAAGCTTTCCTTTTCAGTCATTAAACAGAATGGTTAATCATCGCAGTCTAATTCATTGGCATTTGAAGTTCTTTCCCTAAATTCTGAATCTGCCTGAATTAGTCTCTTTCCTCTTAATAGAGGAGAAAAAGAGATGGAAGCCCCTCGATGACACATTTCAATCTCCTTTGTTACAGAAAATAAACTGCAAAAAGCATTTAAAGTAGCAGTTTGTCCCCATTCCAATCTAAGAGTTACATAATATTGGGCTACAGGCTCTTAATGTATTTATAATGTTAGTTACAAAATATGTTTTGACAAAAACTATTTATAGCAATTCAACTGTTATACAGATTTTAATTGATTTATATTTTCCAGAGAAAATAACCCTTAACAAGTAATATTCTTTTGCTATGGTTCTAAAAAGTTTCAAAATGTTTATAAAGTGTTTTGAGGTTTTTGAAACTAATACAAAATATTGAATTTTGCAGCAATGTAAAATTAGGCCAGTCTACATAATGAACATTAATTATTTAAAACTGCAGACTTTATTATTAAATACTTTTCATAAAACTCATGTTTCCAGGATAAAGTCACTTTGTACTTATTGAATTTTATAATTTTAAAGACTTTTATAAAGCTTAATGAGCCTAAACCTAAGATAGCCAACTTAATAATATTCATGAACAACTTAAGAAATCTGTAGGAGCTATCTTAAAATAGAATTTATGCATAAATATTAAACAGATCATCTAGTATTTATGGTGTTAGATTTCACTGCACCTGATAAATATTTTTGCATTTCTTCCAAGTTCAGGGCTTGTTTAACCTGATTTTGCTCTGGTGGTAATTAGTGAATCTTCCATGGGAAGTTAATTACCCTTTCCTAACCCTGACCAAAATGTGTGCTGTAAAATGAGTTTAAATTTTTTAATCAAGAAAAGCCTTTCCCTGTGGGCTTTTCAGATTTAAAAATCCAATTAGCTTTAATGTTTTTCCTTTTAGAGATTAACCACCCTTTTATATTATAAAACATTAATTGGAATTCAAACTATTTATAGCTCTTTTTTAAACAACCTTTTAACAAATCAGTAAATTTTTTGTTTCTTTTACAAATAGTATTCACCTTGTGAATTCACTATTCTTGAAGGAGTAAAATATTACCAGAGTAGTAGTATTTTATTTCAAATGGTTCATTTTTTTTTTTTTTTTTTTTTTTTTTGAGGCAGAGTCTCACTACCCAGGCTAGAGTGCCGTGGCGTCAGCCTAGCTCACAGCAACCTCAAACTCCCGGGCTCAAGCAATCCTTCTGCCTCAGCTTCCCAAGTGGCTGGGACTACAAGCATGTGCCGCCATGCCTGGCTAATTTTTTCTCTATATATTTTTAGTTGGCAAATTAATTTCTTTCTATTTTTAGTAGAGACAGGGTCTCTCTCTTGCTCAGGCTGATCTCCAACTCCTGATCTTGAGCAATCCTCCCGCCTCGGCCTCCCAGAGTGCTAGAATTACAGGCGTGAGCCACCGCGCCCGGCTGGTTCATAGTTCTCTTACAAGAACAAATTAACATGTACTCTTGTTTCTAAGAATTTTTACAAAGAAAACTCTTCAATAGTTTAAAATAAAGCATCTACATTTCTTTCATTGATAAGTGACATATTGAAATTTCAACCAATATTTTTGTAATGGAATCTCTACCAAGAAGGCACAGAGTCAGACAAGTGTTCCTTAAACTTGCTCCAAAAAAAAAATTAAATAAATAAATAAATCATCTGGAGGGTTCCTGTTAAAAAAAAAATACTAAATCCAGGACCTCACTCTTGGTGATTTTGATTTAGTAAGTTCTAGATTGGGTCCCGGAAGTAGAGTGTGGAATGATAGACATTTGAGACTTGGGAGAGTAGGGGGTGTGGATAATGAGAAATTATTTAACGAGCACAATGTACATTATTCCAGTGATGGATACACTAAAAGCCCTGACTCCACCACAGTGCAATATATCCATGTCACACAATTAGACTTGTACCCCATAAATTTGTACAAATAAAACAATTAAATAGATTTGGGGCCCAGAACCCATATTTTTAACAAGCACTACAAATAATTCTTATTGGTGGGCGAGGTGGGCAACATACTGGGGTAGAGGTTGAGAACCGAGCTCTGAATCAGACAGGCCTAGGGTTGAATCTCACTTCTACTGTAGAAATTGGTCAATAAGCTGTGTCAAGCTTGAGTGAGTTATTTAAACACTCTATGTCCTGGTTTCTCTATCAGTAAAATTGAGACAATATGGACATCCAATTTCCCATCACCATTTGTTTAAAACATGGTGTATCTTGCATTAAATTTTCATGACCCCCTTTGTCCAAATCATAAATTAAAGTGCTTATTACTAGATCTATGAATCTATTCCATGGATCACCCTGATTCTATCTTTATGCTAATACCACACAGACTTGATTACTGTAACTTTGTAGTAAGATTTGATATAGGGAACTGTTTTTCATCCAATTTTTTTTTAACATTGTGTTGCATATTCAGTTTCATTTCAATATACATATAAAATTTAAGTTGAGCTTGTCAATTTCTGTAGAAAAGACAGTCGGGAATTTGAAGAAATTTAATTTGTGGATCAATCTGTGGAGAATTATGATCTTAAAAATTAAGCATTTTATCCTTGAACTATGTATTTATTTCATTTTTTCAATATTTTGATTTATTTCACTAATGACTTTTTAAACTTTAGTGGTAAAGACTTGTACTTTAAAAAAAAAAGACTTGTACTTTTTTGTTAAATTTATTCATGTTTCTTTCTTTGATGCTATTATTAATGGAATCAGTTTTTTTACTTCATTTTTTTTATATTTTTAAAATTTTTTTTATATTTTTGCCTTCATCAAGCTTACAGTTTACTGAGAGAGGCAGGTAGGATAAAACAATACAAGTAGATTGCTTATTATAAAAAATAAATCAGGGTAAGGGAGTAGAAAGTGACAAGAGGAACACCAGGAAACTGCTCCCTGAGTAGATGCTATTTAAGGGTAAACTCAAAGGAAGTGCGGTGTGAGACTTGTACTTCACCTCATTTTCAGATTGTTCACTGCTAAGATATAGGGGTAAAATTGAAAAAAAAAAAAAACTGAGATAATTGTTGTAGCTCCCACAAAAGGTTGTTGTGAGAATTAAATAATGCATGTGACATGCTTAGCACAGGGCTTAGCAAATGGGAAATGTTTAATAAGTGTCTCTGCCTCCTGCCTCTTTTTCCTAGTTTGCTTTCAACAGATTCCATCTTCCCCTAATCTCCAAAATTCTACCACAATCTTTAGTTCCACAACTGGAGATAAAATTTTAAATCTGCAAAGTACCCAGGTCTGCCTTGGTAGACGGAATTGATGTGACAAAGTGAAACTGCCTGATGCACAGGTTAGTTTGGACTGGGTCCTAAACATTCCCTCTTAGACTCATTCATGAGTTTCTCATTTATTAATTTAGTCATTCAACAACCGCTTCTTGAGTTCCTACTATGTTTCATCACTATACTAGGCATGGGATTATTATGGCAAGAAAACCAATGTGTTCCCTGTTCTCCTTGAACTCACTGAGCATTCTGATGCTTCTGTGACTATCTTGATTTTGCCTGGTTTCTACTAGTAACACTTTGATTTGGCCCCGTTTTTGTTTTTCATGTTCTTTCAGGGCCTTGAGTCTTAGAAAGTTCCTTAGCTGCCACATCTGCTCCGCCCAGATGAGCATTCCCTTTTGCTCCTTGGCCCATACCTCTCAATCTCCGCAGGGGCTCCCATGACTGCTGCCAGAGGAAGAATGAAGCTCAGCTCTCCTGCTCACTCATGAGTAAAGGAGTCAGACAACCAGTTCACAAAACCCTACAGTGGTCATAAAATGGGTGAGAGATCTTAGCAGTCTACAGGGAATTTCAAATCTAT